TATATATATTTATATATATATATATATATATATATATATATATATATATATATATATATATATATATATATATATATATATATATATATATATATATATATATATATATATATATATATATATATATATATATATATATATATATATATATATATATATATATATATATATATATATATATATATATATATATATATATATATATATATATATATATATATATATATATATATATATATATATATATATATATATATATATATATATATATATATATATATATATATATATATATATATATATATATATATATATATATATATATATATATATATATATATATATATATATATATATATATATATATATATATATATATATATATATATATATATATATATATATATATATATATATATATATATATATATATATATATATATATATATATATATATATATATATATATATATATATATATATATATATATATATATATATATATATATATATATATATATATATATATATATATATATATATATATATATATATATATATATATATATATATATATATATATATATATATATATATATATAGTTGAAACTAGAATTATTAGTCCCCCTGAATTATTAGCCCCCTTGTTTATTTTTTTCCCCAATTTCTGTTTAACGGAGATAAGATTTTTTTCAGCACATTTCTAAACATGATAGTTTTAATAACTTATTTCTAAAAACTAATTTATTTTATCTTTGCCATGATGACAGTAAATACTATTTTACTAGACATTTTTCAAGACACTTCTAAATAGCTTAAAGTGACATTTAAAGGCTTAACTAGGTTAATTAGGTTAACTAAGCTGAAAAGTAAATTAATGAATGATTAGATTATTTATTAATATTGTTACCTTATTTCTTATTTTTTATCTTTATTATGTTTGTGTTTTTAAATTGTTTTTAATTAATAGCACATATTTAATAAATTGCTTTAAAAATATTATCTACAGTTTAAGGCAAAACATATTAGCTCTAGTATCTTGCAAAATAACTAATAAAATAGTATGTACTGGCATCATGGCAAAGACAAAAATAAATTATTAGAAATTTGTCATTGAAAAAATGTTGAAAAAAGTTCTTCCTGATAAACAGCATTTAGAAAATATTTGTAAATAAAATAAATTTAATTTCAAAGGAGGGCTACTCATTTTGCCTTCAACTGTGTGTGTATCTGATCTATCTATCTATCTATCTATCTATCTATCTATCTATCTATCTATCTATCTATCTATCTATCTGTCTGTCTGTCTGTCTGTCTGTCTGTCTGTCTGTCTGTCTGTCTGTCTGTCTGTCTGTCTGTCTGTCTGTCTGTCTGTCTGTCTGTCTGTCTGTCTGTCTGTCTGTCTGTCTGTCTGTCTGTCTGTCTGTCTGTCTGTCTGTCTGTCTGTCTGTCTGTCTGTCTATCTGTCTATCTATCTATCTATCTATCTATCATCTGTCTGCCTGCCTGTCTGCCTGCCTGCCTGCCTGCCTGCACTATAATTTTTAAAGTTTTTTAATAAGTTTTTCTGTGTCTTGGTCTAAATCTTGTAATAATTTATTCTCTCTCTCTCTCTCTCTCTCTCTCTCTCTCTCTCTCTCTCTCTCTCTCTCTCTCTCTCTCTCTCTCTCTCTCTCTCTCTCTCTCTCTCTCTCTCTCTATATATATATATATATATTTTTTTTATTATTTGCATCAATCTTAATCATTAATTAATTTTTAATAATATAGTTAATTTATTCATGTAAAACATATCAATTTAAAATATATTTTAATATTTAATAAATGTGTCATATAATAACTTTCCTTACTTTAAACACTTTGCTTCATTTCCCCTAAAAAACAATTAAAAGTTTCAAGAGGTGCTTTGAAATATGCACTTTTATTAGATGTTTGACGTAATCTCAACTAAAACCTGAGAAAAGGTTGGGACATAATGTAACTCCTCCCCTTTAAAAAAAAAACAGCCAATGGCGTTTTGTTTTATCCACTTTGCCAGTGAGAGTGGTTGAGCTTAAGTGCCTCAAATAAAAAGCAAATGAGAAGCGCTTAAAGATTGTAAAGAGCATTTGATTGGTCAAAAGATTTGATGAGAAACTAAAGTTTGAGGTGATGTGAGTAAAATTGTTAATCCATTGAGGCGGAAGTGACAAGCTAGCTTTATATCAGTTTTAAATCGTCTAAATGCGATTTCTGTCACTGTTTTGGAGCACACTACAGCACATACAAACTAATACTGATACTAACATCTAAAAAACTATTTTAATTTCATGGAAACTTTAAACAGTGGTTAAAAAAAACCTTCTATCAGAGCTCAATTGAAGCACAGCCTTGTGAATATAGATACCCGACTTAAAAAAAAGCAGCTCAATCTAATGTGTTCTCAGACATCACGATAATATATTGATCCTTTTTTTCCCGAGCTTTATCTTTATTTCCTCACGGTGCTCATTATTCCTTAATTGATTCAAAGCAGATTTAATCTTGCCATCGAGTGTGGGCTGCTTATTGAAAGCATCGAGTTTAAAGCCACAGTAGATCTGCGTCCTCCTTTATCTGCTCTAACTAGCACTGTTTGCTGGAAAAAAAGGCTTTAAATGCATATGTGTGTGTGTTGTTGTGTTGCAGGAGTGTAATGTGCAGGTGTTGGGCAGTTGTTCTGCTTTGGGCCGCAGCTCTGATGGCAGAGGCTCGTCCTGGTAAAGAAGGATTCACCCCGCCGGCATATCGACCACTCGTCCGCTTCCGTCACAAGGTATTGATCTTTCCTATTTCATTATCCATCGCTTTTACAACAGCTAACTGACTTCTGTTGTGTGTGGCTGCTTCAACATGCTAATTACCAGAGTGTGATGTTTCATTTTAGCTCCAGTTTATGGTGTAATGATGAAAATAAATAAGTAAAACGACAAAAAACGAAACGAAGACTAGTAGACTAGAGATTTACACTGTACAAAATATCCTTAAATTATCGGTTTTCTGTATTTTTTTTGATACATATATATATTTTTTTCACAGTTTATTTATGTTTTAGAATTGCATTATGGGATCTTGATCTTTCTTTCAACAACTTTTAACCCTGAAAAGTTTGAAAAAGTGACTTTTATGAAAATGTTTAATAGTAAAGTGGTATATTGTCTGTGTTGGTGTTGTATATTGCGATACGAAAACCTTGTAATAAACTGCCAGTACATTTTATGTTATTTTACAGATTTTTTTTTCTCTATACAGTGGGCCCACATTATTCGTGGGAGTTGCATTCTAAAAAATAACCCAAGTAAGAGAAATCCAACCCAGGCTCATTCTGGAAACGTAGCCATGCGGACGTTTCTGGAGACCGCGAAATACGTCCTGGGACATACGTATTTGTGGAGTTTTTGTGAGTTTTTGCTGATTGAGCGCGAACGGCGCTCATGAGAGGCATTCGAGACTTGAAAAATCGTGCACAGCGGTCTCTCACGAGCTTGGGTTGGAGAAATCCATGTAGTAGTCAGTTTTAATTTTAATTCATTCATTCATTCATTCATTTATTGTCTTTTCGGCTTAGTCCCTTTATTAATCTGGGATTGTCACAGCGCAATGAACCGGCAACTTGTGCAGCACATGTTCTACGCAGCGGATGCCCTTCCAACTGCAAACCAAAACGGGGAAACATCCATACACATATATACACTACGGACAATTTAGCTTACCCAATTCACCTAGACTGCATGTTTTTGGACTTGTGGGGGAAACTTGAGCACCCGGAGAGGAAGCCCATGTAAACATGGGAAGAATAGGTAAACTCCTGAGCTGAGGCTTGAACCAGCGACCTTCTTGCTGTAAATCAAACGTGCTACCCACTGTGCAAATTGACACAAATAAATAAGTTAACAAATGTAGGTGGATTGAAAATAAAACAGTTAAGTTCCCCCAAAACAAATGTCAAGAATTGTTTTTTTTTTTTTTCAGCTCATTTTAAATAATTAGTTTAGGGCAGCAGGAGTTTGTTTAATTTGCTGTGTTTATTGTTTTGAGAGCACTTACAAGCATTTGGAAAAAGTGTGAAATCTATTGGGGAGGGCAAATTTTTTTAGAACCACTCGTTGGATATTGCACTTTTAAACTCATGTAATATTTACAAAAATGCGACCAGGTGTACTTCTTTTTTTAAGAGCCTTGGTTGAAAAACTGCAGCTGTTTGACAAGAGTACATTCATAAACATATTTATACTAAAAAGTAATGAAGGTTTGGATCTGCAGGAGGAAACTCTGGCTGTGCAGACATCATGATGAAGCAGCACAGTGTGATTGTGTAATTGAATGTTTATTGACTGGCCATTGCAGTGAGTTTGTGGACGCACACAGTAAGATTCCAGCAATTGAAGCATAATACAGCTCTAACAAGCTTCACTGCTTCCCTCGACGCTTCTCTCTTCATCAGCTACATGAGCAAATGTTCACTTTATATAAGCGATCAATTAATCTCTGAGTGAGGGGCAGAACAGGGGCTCATGGAAACACTTTTACCTTTTATATCCAAATAAACAACACCGCAGTACTCGAAACACACACACTGGTGACCCCATTTTGTGTGTTAAATTAAATTGGCAAAAATGATTTAAATGATTAACAAAATGCTATTGATGATAACCAATACTGATTGTTATTGAGTGTATATGTTACTGAGTGTATTTTTACATTTATACAAAATATGATACAGGCAGTGGAATGGGGAAAAGGGCAAGTTTATGAGACAAATTGTCTCTTATACAGTATATACAGAGGATGGACAAATTGAAACGCCTGGTTTTAGACTACAATAATTGATTAGGATGGCTTAGAGCCTCCTTTTGCGGCCAATACAGCATCAATTTGCCTTGGGAATGGCAGATACAAGTTCTGCACAGTGGCCAGAGCCAGTCTGACCCATTCATCTTGCAGAATAGTGGCCAGCTCACTACGCAATGCTGGTGGAGGAAAACCTGACTTCTCCAAAACACCTCAAAGTGGATCAATAATGTTAAGATCTGGTGGCTGTGCAGGCCATTGGAGATGTTCCACTACACTTTCATGTTTATCAAACCACTCTGTCCCCAGTCATGATGTGTGCATTAGTATCATCCTGATTCATGGCAAACAGCATGGCATTTTTTTTTTTTAATATGTATTGTTCTTACGTGCAGGCAGCTTTTATGCCTTGCTAGATGTGATATTATGATGATGATAAAAAAAATAAGAATAATAAATGTTATGCATTTGGCCCAATTGGTGATGGCCGCCTGATTTCAAGATGGGCCGACCCAATCCGAGGTTACCCGGACGTAATCAAAATCTGGCAAGAATGTCATATTATTTCACCATCTGTAGACCAAAATAAATAGTAAATGTCCATGTCCATGGGTGGGTTGTGTCGGGGTGGTAATGTGGGCTGATGTGGCTACAGTGCCAGGGCTGAATTTTTGTCCCAGTCCGCACCCATCTAACATCAGTTTTGGGACTAGGGAATGCCATAATATCGTAGCCCAAACTATCACTGCTCCACCCCCATGCTTTACTCTGGGCGAGCAACAGTCTGGGTGGTACTCATCTTTGGAGCTACTCCTCACCATAACTCTCCCGGATGTGGAAAAGACAATGAAAGTGTACTTATCAGAAAACAGTACATTTGTTTATTTGTTTATTAATTAATTAATTAATTAATTAATTAATTCATTCATTCATTCATAATCATGCAAGATGCTTCCAAGACACAAGATGTAAACACAATGGACCCAGCCATCTGTCAAAACACTTGTTTAATAATATAGAAGTAGAATACGTTTAATAAAATTAGTGCAATATTTGCCTTCTTATATGAATATTTTCTGCAAAGATGTAGTCTAGTCATGTGCTTTACAATTACAAACATATTAACAACTTGGAGTGGACCGTCTTTAACCAGTGCCATCACATTTTTAGGAGCCTGGCTTAAAATATAATGATGTGCAAACCATGGTTCGTTTGCCAATTGACAGACATGAGGTCTGAAATAAAGATATGGCCATCATAAAAAATCCTGATGAGACAATCATGAGTAGCCTATTTAATTTCCTTTGCACTTTAAGGTTGAATACCACCCTGCTATCAGTTCAGTACTGTATGCTCACTATGTTAAATAACTGTTCCATGCTGGTCATGTCTTTATTGTGTTAAAGCATTCTGTGTAGTACTGTGGAACACTGCAGTGTCACACGTGATAACGTTCATTCACTCACGCATTCTTTGTAGCCACATCTGTAAATGTCTATGAAACTGACGTATTTCCATGTGCATGTTAATTAATTGGTGCTTGACTTCAAATCAATTGCCTTCGAAGCACTTCTTTTTGCATTCTTTGCAATTAGGACTGGGTGGTATGATATATATTGTTAAGATGGAATGAAATATGTACCGTAATTTCTTATTTAAATTCTGCGTATACCTGTGAAATGTAAATAAGTGGCCGTGGGCCATGTGTGCTTCATGGGAAAATGACAGTGTTGCAGTTGTTTCATATTATTAGCAAGAAATGAAAGCTTAGTTTTAATATCTACACAAGATTTGTATTAATTTCTGTATTTTTATATTTTTTAACGTGTTTACATATTTATCATTTCATATTTAAGTTTTCTTTTCCTGTTTCTTACTTGGCAAATATTTGATATCTGTGAGAAGATGATACGCAAGAGTGGTTTTGAGGCGTTGCGCCACGCTCTTTAAATAGCAAATGCATTAGCGCTCATATATGTGCACCCAGAGGCATTCTGGTCTAAAAAGGAAGGCATTCTGAGGCGCACTGCTGGCTCGTTGCTATTTTGTGAAACTATAATAGATTTTTTATTAGACCAAAACAAACCCGGTCTAAAGTCCAGCGCCTCGCTTACACACTGTTTAATACACACAAGATGTAGAGAAATGTGCAAATATCTTTACATATGAAAAAAAATTAAAATATTAAGGATATATATAGGATATAATAAGGATATATATAGGATATAAATATAAAGGATTAAAATATTACAAAATTTATTATTTTCTAGCCTACATAAATATGAAAAATCACTGCTTTTATGTCTTCTTCATCTCGGGAGGCTTTTTCAGTTCATTCATAACAATTTGCTTTTGTATAATGTTATTATTATTAGCAGTATTATTGATTATATCCATATTTATATTTGTTTGTTTAAAAACAATCTTTGCCCACCTGCAGGTTTTAGACCATATGGGACACAGCATGTGTTTTAGGATATAAGTGTGGTTTTGTGACCACACTTCGTTATTATTGTTTATTTATTCGTTTGCTGGAAATTACATCTGAATTTAGAAATAGTTTTGAAACGAATATTTGCGCTTAACTAACTAAATTACTTATTTATAGGCTAATTGATGTCTGTGCGTAAAGGTTTCCCTATCCACAAGAGCCAAAGTGAAAGTAGATCGATTATCTCTCATTCTCGCGCTGTAGATGCTCTGTTTAACTGTTTTCTGTAAAAAAAAAAAAAAAAAAGAAAAAAAAAAACTGTTAACTGTCTGCTAGTGAAATGCTCAGTTTTTCCACTTACACTTACTTTACGTCATATAAATAGCAAATGCGCTTACGGTGCGACGCAACTGGCTCTTAAAGGGAATGGGAGATGAGACTCTGATTGGTTTATTCTCCAAACACACCTATAACTCATTAAGAAAATAAACTCAACCATTTTAGACCATGCGCCACGGTGTAAAGCGGATTTTCCCACCCTTAATTTAGCAAAT